CTCCTCCTCCTCTTCCTCCTCCTCCTCCTGCTCCTCCTCCTCCTCCTCCTCCTCTTCCCCGCCGCGAGGCCGCCCGCCTGCGGAGCCTCCGCCCCAGCCGCCGCCCGGCCCGGCTCCGATCGGGCCCCAGCCGCCGCCGCCCTTCCCCTTCGCCCAGCTGTCGCCGCCTCCGACAGGGCCCCAGCCGCCGCCGCCTGGAGTTTGGACGCCCGCAATGGGTACGGAAGAAATCGGTACAATGCCCATCAACAAATGTTGTCCCAAGCCAACAGCGGCCGCTGTTGGGCAGGCGGCCTTGTGTCTCAAATGGACACAGGCCGCGGCGGCGCGGATAGCGAGTCCTGTTCAACATGAACAGGAACTGCTGTTGGGCATCATACCTATTCTTTCCGTACCCATTTCGTTCGTGCCGATGGAGGGAGAGAAACCGAAGACTGCGGGCCTGGACCTCCAACGTGCTGAAACATTCCCTGCGGAAATGTTTGTCGTTTTCGGTTCCCGGGGGCCCTCGCCGGGCCCTGGAACCGTCAACGAACGACTCGTTGGTCATCGTCCATCCTGGCCATCGCTGGTTCGTAGGGCATCTTCGCGGATCGGCGACGGCCGGCATAGACCATGGCCAAGATCGGCGTCGACATGACCCTGCGACATCCTGGACATCGGTGCTCCTAACTTCGCACTCTCGCGCCGACTCCCAGGGGAGAAGACGACGATAAGAAGGAATCGGAGCCGAACCGCGAAGCGCGAATAACTTCGCGCCCTCGAGGGCGCCCGTGGCCAAGATCGGCGTCGAGATCCCGCGACATCATGGAGATCGGTCATCGCGTTCCTTCCCTCAAGCCGCCAGCAGGGCCCCAGCTGTCGCCACCCCAGCCGCCCCAGGCGTCGCCTTTCCCTTTCCAGGCCATGGCAGCGCCCTGGGGGCGGGGCGGATGGATGGGCAGGGGAGGGGAAGAGGGCCGACGGGGGAGGAGGCACGGGGGGAGAGGGGGAACGGAGGGTTGAGCTCGGCCCGGAGGCGTCAAGAGAGGGCGGACGAGCGATGCCTTATAGCGGGAGGGAGTAGGACAGGAACGGGGCGACTGCGACCCAGAGCGCCGGTGAGGAGGCACAGGGCAGGACGAGGCGGAGGAGGCGGAGGAGGGGGCGGAAGAGAGGAGGACAGGAGAGAGGGGAGGAGGAGCAATCGGCGGAGGACAAGCCTCCCTTTGGTAAACTACCCTCTAATGAAAACCGCCTAGGACCGAAACCGACGGCCCTGGACGCGCAAAAACGACGGGCGCGACGCCCCCTCTCGCGAACCGAGAGCGGACAATTCGCTCATCGACGCGTCAGGGCAGGAGGTCCATAGTAACCCCCGAAGCAAGGCTGCGGGAGCCGGGCCGGGAGGCGAGAGAGCGGGGCCGTGGGCCCCGCAGCAGCCCCCCCCCCCTTGAGGCGGCAGGATAGCCAGGCCCGACGCGGTGCACCGGGTGTGCTCGGGCGCGCGGTCGGCACCCGACAGCCTCGCTGCAGCGGGTCGGGCCGGAGGCGCGGCCTCGTGTCGAGACGTGTTGCGGCAAGGGCTCGACGAGACAAGCAGAGCGGCCGCGCCAGGATGCCGGGCGCCCTGGGTCCCCGCGGAGCCAATTTCAGTCCTGCCTGATTCCCCGTGCTGTTGGTCTGGGTGGCCCTGGGGGGTCCCTGGGGGCTTCGAGGTCGCCACGGAACGTCCCAGGAGCGCCCCGGGTCCTGGGCGGCGGCCACTTCACCGTCAAGACCAGTGCGGGCAGGCACCGGGCCGCAGCGGATCGCCAACGAGTCGAGATGGAATCGGAGATCGGGCCGGGCGACATCGGTAGCGAATCGGGCAGAAGAGAAGTGGGCCCTGCGTGTGCCCAGGCTCGGCCGCTCATTGGATGTGCGTCGCAAGCAGCTGCAAGCGGCCACCTGGACCAGCACATGACCTCGGCGGCGCGCCCCGAGGAAAAGCGAGATGGGGCAGGCTTGCTCGGAACCGCGGGGTTTCCCAAAAGCCCTGGCGCCTTTCGAGACCATGCTGTGGTTTCGGAGAAGGCTTACAAGGCTTCTCAGAGGGCGCTAGGGCTGAGGAGAGGCCGTCCCGCATTCTGAAGAGGACTGCCCCCGCTTACACTCCCCCTGGGCTCGCCGCCGATGGTCGCTGTGCTTGACCACCCGCCGCTGGTGCCATCAAATAAAGGAGCGCAGTGGCGTGCACGTGGACGCAGTGGTCACGGTCCGCAACATTTGGGAATAGCATGGGGTTACGCTGTGCGCCTACACTGTCATTCCTGATGTAGCCTGGGCTGGACTTCTTTAAGGGCGTCCTGGAGCTTGTCTACCTGCTTGTGCATCAACGCACAGTGGCTGGCAACAGAGGCCACAACTTGTCGAACAGAAGAAAACAAAGGGCGGAACACGCATTACCGACACTGCCGAGCAACCAGCCAGGGTCTGATAGAGAAGCGCAGCCTCACGAAGCACGTTCCGAGGGGCGTGACCTGCCCCCTCTGTTCGCAATCCTTGACCGCCCATGCCCTCAAAGCGTCGCTGCGACCTTGCAAGACGCTCGCCGCCGGCGACGACTACTGGAGTGCTTAACGGGGGTCGGCCGACGTGTCATCGATGGCGTCAGGCAGCCTGCCCGAGCGCAGCAGCTGGCGCGCATGAAGCTCGCAATCCCAACGAGTATCCTTGTATCCTTCGCACACGATTGGCACAGGCATCAAACATGTGTTCTTGGATCGGCGCTGGACCCCCCCTCCTGGCGCGCGGAGCGCGCCCGGGGGAGCGCCGGAGGCGCCGCCAGGAGGGCCCAGCGCGGATCCAAGAAATCCGCGCGGACCTCGAAGGAAGCATGTTTGCGCAGCTTTGGTTCTTCGAATCAACGCGATGACTGTGGCACCGGCTGTGCTCGGGCGCGTCGACATCCAGCAGCACTCAGCGGATGGCGGCGACACGGGCGGCACTGTCCCCAACGAGGGAGGAGACCGCCCGCTCGCGGCCGCCTGGCTCGGGAGTGGGCCACAGTTGCCACGGAGGGGGGAGGAAGAGGGGGGAAGAAGGGCGCCTGCTCCCCCACCCCTTCCCGCCTCCTCCACCCCCTTTCCTCCTCCGTCTGGCTCACTTCCCGCCTCCCCTCCGCTTGCCCTCATCCTTCCCCGCCGAGGCCAGAATGGTCTGGCAGGACCCTGGCTCATTCTCCCTATGCAGCTGGCAGTGTCTTGCCGCACTTTCAGGGTTCGCTCTTGGACTCGCTGTTGGTCCACGCCCATACGTGCTTGGGGCATCCACTGCGTGCCCGTCATACGGTGTGCCCAGCCACGGGTACCAAAACTCGGAATTCACACTCATGTTGTGCCCGCCCATGACCTTCCCTGACCCCCAGGGATTGAGCTGCTCGGTCTACTACATTCTGTTGGCACAGGTTGAAAATAAAAATAAAAATAAATAAATAAATAAAAATTATGAAAAAAAATAAATTCGGAAATAAAAAATAAATTTACAAATACTTTAGGCATTGAAAAACATATAAAATAAAACTGCCGCTTATATAATAAAAACACATATGTCATGCATATTGAATGAGCTGGCCGGAATGATAGAATCGGAATGCAATATTTGCCACTGTGACCACCCAACTGGTTCAGAGTCATGGCGCAAGGGCAATTAACCCCATGCAGCTGGCTAGAGAAGCGCTGACACTATAAAGAATCATCCTCTCCGCCTTCCCCCTCGCCCCCCGTCCTCCTGTCTGCTAACTTCCCTCCCCCACCCCGTTCTCCCGTCGCGCTATCCGTTGGCATCCTTCTGACTTTTGCGATCTAGAAATGTAGAATATGATTGGCCTGCCTCTCTGGTAGCTTGCGCCATCTACAGGTGGATCTTTGGATCTTTGGCCCCCGAGGAATACGAAACCGAAGACCGAAGACCGAAGACGTCGACGACAGCAGCGGCGGCAGCGACGACGCGCTAGACAACGACTGCGGGCAGGAAGCAGCGAAAGGACTCTTTTCCTTTCCACCCCACCAGCAATGGCAGCACGCCATTGCCATCCCCGGTGGCGCACCGTTGCCAGAAGTCCTATGTCCTATGCACCTATGCACACGTGCTGCAAAAGGAGACTGAGATAATATGAGATGTGGTCTACTTCTGATGCAACAAGACGAGCAGGACAGACACAATGAATACATCAAAGGAACAGCTGATAGAGTGAGTGGGGACACGTTTGAGAAACGGAAGGGCTGATGAAAGCAAACGGCACACGTGGACATCGACACGTGGAAGGGGCGGCGGGGGGTGGCGGGGGGGGGGACGAGGGGGGGGAAAGACTGAGGGTGGCAGGTGGAAGCGGGGAACTTCAAGTGAGAAGCGAGGTAAAGGGCAAGGGGAAATGCGATGGTCAAACAAGGTGCGAGGAGGGGGGCGGAGCGGAGGAAGTGCGAGGTGAGAGGGGGCTCGGACAGAAAGATGAAGTTCAAAGGAGAGGGGGGCGAGACGAAGTACGGACGGGGGGCAGCGAACACGGCGGCTGAAACTGCCTACAGCGCATGGCCCCCAAGGCCTGGGGCCTGGGTCCTGAGACGATCCGAACACCTGAAAACCATGAAGTAGGGGCCGAAAGACAAGCGGTTACGGATCAGGGCCATCGCAGGGCCCAAGGCCCAAGGCCGAGACGCCGAGATGATGGCGACCAGGAGGATCAGAGAACAAACGTTAAGACAGGGGGTCAACGCGAGCACCCAGCCTCGCGCCGCCACCGATCTGAGGTCCGATGGTCGCGTCCACATCCAAGACATCCTTCCAGCTCCTCTTCCTCCCTCCCCCTCCGTCTCCTCCACGTCCTCCTCCTCCTCCTCCCCTCATCCGCCCCCCCTCATCCTCCTCGCGGCCCCTCGGAGGCCCTCGCTCTCACGACGGGCCAAGCAACATGCAACCAAGCGTCGAGCAGGCCCCCTCATCAGAGACCCTCGTCCTCCTCGCGACCCCTCGGCCCTCGGCCCGCGGCCCTCGCAAGGGCGATCAAGAATGAGATTCAAGCGGAACCCTTCCTCCGCTTCTTGATCCTCTCGGCCAGGGACGCCTTCGCCTCCTCTGGCAGCGGCCTCCTCCTCGCCTGCTCCTCCTGGCCCTCCTGGCCCTCCCCCTCTGCCGCTGCTGGAGCTGGAGCCACCGCGGCGGGCGGCGCTGGCGGCGCAGCCGCCGCCGGAGCCGGGGGGGGCGGCGCCGCCGCCAGCGGGGCGTCGGCCTCGGCCTCGGCCTCGGCGTACTTGCACGCCTCGAAGGCCGCCGCGTCACCACTGGCGAGACCGTCCAGGACCTTCGCCATGGACTCCGGCAGCTCGACCTGGCCAAAGAAAGGAGAAAGGACCGAATCGCCAATCCGAGAACAAGGAGCAGGCGGGGAGGAGGAGGAGGAGGAGGACGACGACGACGACGACGATGACGAGGACGAGGGCGAGCGAAGGGCGGAGGGTGCGAGGAGGAGGAGAAGGAGGAGCCTCAGGAGGAGGAGGAGGAGGAGGAGGGAGCAGGAGGAGAAGGTAGAAGAAAAGGAGGAGGAGCAGCAAAAGGAAAGCGAAAGCGAAGATGGTTGCGGAGGACGTCGAGGGTCGAGGAGGCGAGAAAATAAGGAGGACCACGATGAGGAGGATGACGAACATGAGGAAGATGTGAGGAGGAAGGAGGAGCAGGACAACCACGACGCGGACGACCTTGTGCTTGCCGAACTTCTCCTTCACGCTCTCCACCAAGTCCTTGACCTTCTCCGCCGGCTGCTCGCTGCTGATCCCCTTCGCCAGGTGCCAGGCCGCGAATGCGAAGCAGAACGTCTCCACCCCGATGTTCGACGAGTCCCTCAACTCCTTGACGGTCCTAATCGGCACAATCGGAGCATGGCCATCGGCGT